CGCACCTGACATCTCCCCAAAAAGCACTTTCCTGGGGGCACCTTGTTTGGGTGTCTGTAACTCGAACCCCCAAGTCCAATCTGCACATAACTTGTAGGACATGTAGGGGGCATCCTGGGGAGGTCCACCACAAGTCTGATGCCTCTAGCTCACACAGGGTCTGTTTTAAACACTCCAGAACCCACACCTGCCATCTCCTCAAAAAGCACTTTCCTAGTGGCACCTTGATTGGGGGTCCGTAACTCAGACCCCTCCCTCAAATCCAATCTTCACCAAACTTGGTAGGTAGGTAGAGAAGAGTCATCTGGAGATGCCCTGTGATTTTGGAGTCTCTAGGACCCCGGGGAGCTGCCCCCCATGTCCCAAACTTCCTGAAGCAGTTGGGTTTGGCAGAGCAGTTGGGTTCAGGACACAACCTGAACCAGGTTTTCCCCGCTTATGCTCATCCCTGATAACAGGTGTCATGTAGGAATCCACCCAACGGACTATTAGTACACATTGATATTTACAGAATGATGACACTGTGCAGTAAGTGAAGGTATGATGTCTGTAAAGTGGCAGTGAGAAAAGACAGAACATGAAGGGGTAAGAGAACACAGACAGAAGAGGAAGAAATTGCAGCACTTTAGAAATAAAAGCACAAATGAGATGTGGGATGATTTTTTAACACATACTAATTCAGAATCTGAGAATTTCAATGTGTGGTGTATACCCAGCAAGTTGGTAAAATAGGCATGATATAGAAGGGTAAATTTACAAATATACTTGTGGGTGGGTGAAGGAGTAACAAGAAGTTTATTTTCATCGGTCATGCTGGGGATATAAATTGCTGTGTACCACTACTACCAATAATTATGCTTAGCACCAGTAACTGCATTGTGTGTTTTTGTAACACAGATGTGATATAGTCTTTGCCCAGAGTGCTCACAGTCTAGGTCTGGTGGACAGAACAAAGAGGAAGGCTGTCAGGAAAACACAAGATGTATTTTTTAACCAGTTTAAAGAGGGGTACTCTTTGCAATCTGGGAATATCAAAATCCCAGGTTAAGACAAACCAAAAACA